GTCTCGAACCCTCGGGCTCAGGCAATCCACTCACCTCAGCCTCCCAAAGGCGCGGGATTACAGGCTGAGCCACCGAGCCCGGCTTCTGGGGATTCTTTCAACGCGTTTGCCCATTTCATGATGGGTGATTTATGATCACACCTGCCCACACTGTGCTGAGTGTTCAGCAATTTGTGACTAAAAACCCCTGTGCCGCAACCTCCCTATTCTCCTGACCTCGCCCCAGCGACTTTTTTTTATATCCCGGATGAAAAAGTCCTCAGAGGGAAATGTTTTGGCGATGTGGAAGAGGTGAAGCAAAAAATGGCAGACGCACTCAAAGGCATCATCATTGACGAGTTCAGAAACTGTTTTGCGCAGTAGAAAACGCATCTGGATAGGTGTATTGCATCAAACAGCGAGTACCTTGTAAGTGACTGAAGTTGAAACATGCAAGAATAAATACACACTTTTAAATAAATTCCCCCTTGTATGTGGAGTTCTACATTTAATTAAGATGATGTGAAATTAAAAGTTTGACTCTCCAGACGCACCAGCCAAGTTTCAAGCCCCTCACACCCAAGTGCGGTGGGCGCTGTCCTCAGGGAGGGCGCAGGTGTGGATCGCCATCATCATGGGGGTCCTGGATGCTGGACAGCACTGCAGTTTTTTGTTTTTTGGGTTTTTTTTGAGTTGGCGTCTCACTCTGTCGCCCAGACTGGACCTGCTGGGCTCCAGCGATCCTTCCACCTCAGCCTTCCAAGTAGCTGGAATTACAGGCACGCACTACCATGCCCGGCTAATTTTTTGATTTATTGTAGAGATGAGGTCTCAGCAAGTTGCCCAGGTGGGTCTCGAACCTGTGGGCTCAGGCAATCCACTCACCTTAGCCTCCCAAGGCGTGGGATTATAGGCTGAGCCACCGAGCCCGGCTTAGCACTGCAGTTTTATTTTTTTTAATTTTTATTTTATTTTTTTATTTTTTGAGTTGGAGTCTCACTCTGTCACCCAGACTGGAGTGCAGTGGCCGCTCCCGGCCACCGCAGCCTCGACCCACTGGGCTCCGGCGATCCTTCTGCCTCAGCCTTCCGAGTAGCTGGAACTATAGGCGCGCGCTACCACGCCCGGCTAATTTTTTGATTTTACTGTAGAGATGAGGTCTCACCAAGTTGCCCAGGCGGGTCTCGAACCTGTGGGCTCAGACAATCCACTCACCTCAGCCTCCCAAGGCGCGGGATTATAGGCTGAGCCACCGAGCCCGGCTTAGCACTGCAGATTTGGAGTTGTGTTTCTACAGGACAGGACCTCCAGGCTGGCCTCACCATAAGACACCGCTGGTTTCCATCACAGTTGGTTAATTGCCCTCTCCCTGTAGACTGGAACCCCTCTCAGTGCAAGGCCAGGCACGTCAGGAACCAACCTCCTTCCTAATGGATCTTTTTTGTTGTTGTTGAGTCGGTGTCTCACTCTGTTGCCCAGGCTGGAGTATGGTAGCATGATCACGGCTCGCGGCAGCCTCGACTTCCTGGGCTCAGGCCATCCTCCTGCCTCAGCCTTTAGAGGAGCTGGAATTGCAGGCATGTGTCACCACGCTTGGCTTTGTGTGTGTGTGTGTGTGTGTGTGTGTGTGTGTGTGTGTGTGTGTGTGTGCGTGTGTGTGTGTGTGTGTGTGGAGAGGAGGTCTCCTTATGTTGTCTAGGGTGGTCTTGAACTCCTGGTCTCAAGCAGCCTCCCACCTCAGCCTCCAAAGTAGCTGGGACTACAGGCACATGCCATGACTGGATAACTTTTTTATTTTTTGCAGAGGTGGGATATCCTTATGTTGCCCAGGCTGGTCTCGAGCTCCTGGCCTCAAACGACTCTCCTGCCTTGGCCTAAAGTGCTGGGATTGCAGGTGTGAGCCACCACGCCTGGCCACCAATGGATCTTAAGAAACATTTATTCTTAGAAACGAAGAAATGTTCTTAGAACCTTTCTTAGGCTCCTAGAATTGCAGCACCACAGATTGTTTGGTATATTTTATAAAATATTTCAGTTTTAAGCCGGGCGCGGTGGCTCACACCTATAATCCCAGAACTTTGGGATGTGACGGTGAGAGGATTATCTGATTCCAGGGGTTCGAGACCAGCCTAGGCAACTTGGTGAGACTTCGTTTCTACAATAAATCAAAAAATTAGCTGGGCATGGTGGTGAGTGCCTGTAGTTCCAGCTACTTGGGAGGCTGAGGCGGAAATGAGCATGCCACTGCACTCCAGCCGGGGTGGCAGAGTGAGATTCCAACTCAAAGAAAAAAAAAGAATATTCCAGTCTTAGATTGGGTAGAACCAAAACACATGGAGAAACTGCCTTCCAATTCTCATCCCCTACCTGGGTCCCCACTTCTCTCTCCAGGGGAAACCATTGCTACAGGTTTCTGGAGTTCTTCTGCATACACACACACACACACACACACACACACACACACACACACACACACACACATGGCTGGGGAGAGAGTCCCCCTCAGCACACTATTCTGTGCTTGCTTTTTTCTTTTTATTTTTCTTTTATATTTTTATAGAGACGAGGTCTCACTATGCTGCCCAGGCTGGTCTCAAACTCCTGGGCTCAAGTGATCTTCCCGCCTTGGCCTCCCAAAGTGCTGACTTTGTTTTTTGATTTCACTCTGAATCTTGGAGGTCCCTTGCTGGCCAATTGAGTGAGCCAGTCTCCTCTGGCTGGACACTTCATTTATGCCCAGTCCTGGTGGGGCTGTGCAATGGTGCAACTTTGCAAGCCGTGTGCATCTAGAAGGCCCTGGAAACCACAGTGTTAGAATCAGCATCTTTTCTTCCTGCCTTTGTGAAGTCGGCGAAGGGAAGGGAGAGAGGGCAGCGGGCGAGCGCATGCTGCGAAGGGAGCTTTGTCAGCTGCGGAAGGCAGTGAGGACACAGGCCCTTGTGGGGCTCTGAGTCATCTGCAGCTAAGGACCGCTGGGGGCTTGTGACATTAACAGAGGCAAAATTAGCTTGGTGTGTCACGTCCACAGGGATGTTCACGCTTGGACAACCTGCTGTGCCTGGCATGACCCCTTCAGTGGCTTGAGCACGGGGACCTGGGACGCGGGGCTCCCCGAGTACAGAATCCAGGGCAGAGCGAGGGTGGGGGGGGGGGCCAAGGGGAGGGG